TCCGAATTTGGGAAAAAAATTTCCGAGGTGGAAAATCAAGAGCATTTTCTGAAAATGTCTTGAATAAAGACGAAAGCTAAAGTATTATTTTGGGGTGACCTGACTTGATTCAACGTCAGGTGGAGGTAGGGTGGGGGATTAGTAGTCTCATATTACTGACCTGATGGAATGTCAGGTCACCCTTTCTTGGCCGGGGGATTAGTGGGTCTCATGACCTGAAGATGTCTTGAATAAACACAAAAGCTAAAGTATTTTTTAGTGGGATTATGGTAAGTATAAGTATAAATGAGCAAAGTTGTATCCCTTCTACATTATGTTTCATAACATTTTAAAATATGTGAGTGAGAAAGCAGAAAGGTGTGGGTGATTAGAGAGATGGAGTGGATATGAGTGCTGCCAAGCGCTCCTCAACAGCTGATATTTAACTCGTTCCCATGCAGTCACACACACACACACACAGATGTGTCATACAATAAGATCGTCACTCCTTATGCTTGCTGTCTTAATTCCCTTGTTGGGTGTGTGTGAGTGGTGTTAGGGTGTGTGAGACTGAGGCAAGCGGGAGCGTATGGTGGAGGAATACGTACACACGCTGTCCTACTCTACGGTTGAGGCGTGCGGTTCAGAATTTTTGCTCGTAAGAATTTGCGAATAAACGGGGTAACCATTGCGAATAGTGGAAATGGTTAACAATAAATAGATTGTGGATAAACGGGGTTACGAATACCTAGGCTATGAATACAGTGGTCCCTCGGTTAACGAGCACAATCCGTTCCAGCAGGTTGCTCGTTAACCGAAAAACTCGTTAACCGAAACCATTGTTTCAATGGGTTTTTGGGTAATTGGTTCCAGCTCACCGAAAATTGCCTAAATTCAACAAAAAAGGTAGAAAAGTTCACTTACTTTGAGGTGTGTATGTAGAAGGCTCCTGGATGATGATGATGATGATGGGAATTAGAATGGGGGTGGAGGAGAAGGGAGAAGAGAAGGCATTGGGGTGGAAGAGAAGTCACCCCATGGTGCCATTTCACCCATAAAATTTTAGTTCTCTTGGTGTAATTCAGGATTATTTTCTTTAAATCAACACTGCACTGCATTATATATTGTCAACATGTAAAATGAATTTCAAAATGACCAATAATTTGCTTGGAAACACAGAAAAAAAACGTTTAGTTGAAGAGAGTCTCAAGCAAGATGTTACCTCCACTGAAAACAGAGAGAGACTAACGCTTGTTTGCTGTATTAAGAGGCTGGATGGCGCGCATAAAACTAGTCACTTTACCTTCAATTATGTTCAATAATTGTTAAAATGACTAAAAAAGTTAATATTAAACTTTTAAAATTATTGAATAGTATAAACTTCTTGATATTTACTAAAATAGTAAGGAATTTAAGCCCTAAAACCGATTACTGTATTGGCGGACTGATACTACAGCTGGTGGACCGCCAAATGCAAGCGAAAACGTGTTGAAGTCGGCTCGTGAAAAACTCGTTAATCGAGGGATTGCTCGTTAACCGAAGTTAAGAATCTTATGGAAGGTAGATCGTTAACCGAGGCGCTCGTTAACCGAGGGATCACTGTAACTGGGTTTGCCTGTACTGAGTTTTATTACTATTGAATTTAACCAAGTTTGTACCTCCCCATTCGGAGATGCTGCACAGATCCGCATTGATAGAAGTAATGATATCAGCTCTAGAAACAGATCTAGTTTCAGAGTTAGGAGGAAGGGGAAAATGTGAAGAGTGAAGAGTAGAATCATCAGCGTAAGAATGGATAGAATTAGTTGTAGTGTGAAGTAAATTATTGATAAAAAGAAGGAAGAGAGTAGGTGAAAGAACAGAACCCTGTGGGACACCACTATTGGTAGAGAAAGAGCGAGAGATCAATCCCACGACTCAACTGCCATGGATTGGTTCTCAAGGAAGCTAGAGATTAGAGAACAAAGTGGGGTAGAGAAACCATAAGAGGGAAGTTTAGAAAGTAAAAACTTGTGCCATACCCTGTCAAATGCCTTGGAGATGTCGAGGGCTACGACGATAGTTTTCCCATAATCCACAAGAGTGGATGACCAAAGATAGGTGCAACAGGAGAGTAGATCTCGCCTGGCGAAAGCCATATTGGTGATCCGATAAAAGAGAATGGCGTTCAAGGTGACGGAGAAAATGGGAGTTCAAGATAATTTTGAAAATCAAACAGGGAGGTACTACCGCCTGGGAAGATATTGGAAGCATAATGTGTTGTCTAATGGTAGACCCTGCTGCCATATGGCATCACGAATATTGTGACCAAGTCCCAGGTTGCTGATCTGTCTTTCTGCCTCATTTACACACAATTGCAGGATCTCAATTGTTTCTCTTACTATTGACAACACAACATACTATACATATAGCATTTCTCACTATTGATTATTGTTTTTCTTTTCTTTATTATCATTATTACAGTGTTGTTATTATTATTATTATTTTATTTTACTTTTTATTATAAATTTTATTTACTATGAATTACTATTATTATTAAATTTTTGCCCCCCAGGCCCCGATGTGGGTCAGTGACCTGTGCCCGAGTGGGCTAATCCCCATAAAAAAAAAAAAAAGTTAGAGGGATTAGAATGGTCACCCTTCTTCGGGATGGGCTGAACCAAGGCATGCTTCCAAGAAGAAGGAGAAGTTTGGGTTTTGAGGCAGAGGCAAAAGAGGTGAGCAAGCACAGGGGCCAGAGCTTCAGCACACTCCCTCAGAACACGGGGGGGTCTTCCGTCTGGTCCATGGGCCTTACTCACATCTAACCTGGATAACACACCAGCAACCTTGCGAGTGGAGATTGTCAGAAATTGCATAGGTTCAGTAGGGGGAGCAGGTGTAGGAGGGATAGAGTGGGAATCATCTAAGGTGGAGTTAGAGGAGAATAAGGTGCCAAAGAGATTGGCTTTGTCAGGGGGAGAGTTGGCTATAGAGTTATCAGGTCGGAAGAGAGGAGGAAAAGAGGGAGGGCAGAAGTTATTACGGATGTTTTGGTTAAGGACCTGAAGAATTTACTAGAGGAAGAATTAGTCAGGACAGCGGCCTTTCTTTTTATAAAATTCCGCTTGGTCGTACGAAGAATAGCCTTACAATGATTCCTGGTAGTAATGAAAGAGGAGTGGGTAATAGTAGAAGGAGATAGCTTCATAGCTTGATATGCCCTATCTCTCACCCTGCATGCAAGAGAGCAGGAGCGATCAAACCATGATTGTAAAGTGAAAGTTTTGGTAGAAGATGGGATAAATGCACTCATACCGCCCTGTATAACCCCAGCAATGCTGTCAGCACATACCGAGGCGTCCTGAGTGGAAAAGCAACATTCATCCCAAGGAAAGTTGGTGAAGAATTCTCGCAAGGATTGCCAGTTTGCCCTCCGATAGTGCCATAGTTGACGTTTAGAGGGGGGTGGGGGAGGTGGTCGTGCCCAGTTTGATTTAGTAGAAATAAGATTTTGATCAGAAGACCCTAAGGGGGCAGAAATTGAGTACGAATAGTGTGAGGGGTTAGAGGTAAAACAAAGATCAAGAATGTTAGCAAGTTGATCGTGTCGATCAGGAACGCCTGTAGGGTGTTTGATTATTTGTTCCAAATCATTAAGTAGGGAAAAATAGAGTGCCTCCTCTCCACCTGGGTCATCCCTTGTAGAGCCAAGCAACTCTCTGTGATGTACATTGAAATCCCCAAGGTAGAGGATCTCGGTGTTGGGGTGTGTGGATAGCAATGACTGATGGCGAGAAGTGAGATTGTCAAAGAGTTCAAAATAGTTGGTAGAGTTGAGAGAACAGTAAAGGAAACAAAGGAAAATAGTCATAGTTGGTAGAGACATTTTGAGCCAGATGACATCATAGAGGGAAGATTCAAGACCCATGAGTCGAGCTATAGGTGTTGCAGTAGGTACATACACCTCCCTTAGAATGGAAGGAGGTATAAAGGTTGTAGTTGGAGACTTGATAAGGTTTGGGTGAAGCTGCTTTGGACAGTTGAAGTTCGGAAAGTAGTAAGAGGTCGGGGGAAGAGGTTAATACAGTCGACCCTCGTTAATTCGGACCCCTTTAATCCGGATTTCAGATAAATCGGACGAAATCTGAACTAAGCTAGGGACTGTCCGTACAAAATTTCTGGTTCTGGGATTGTCCCAGTTGCAATTGGGGTTGCAATTTCAAATTCTGTGTCATTACTAAGGAATAACGAAGTCTCTGGTGCACTACACTCCAAGATTAAGAGAAAACGGAGGACTCAGGTGTCCTGAAACAAGAGAAAACGGACTCCTATGATGGAGCACTCAAATAAACATACACATAGCTACATGTTTTGTGGACTACCCACTGTACAGTATCCTTTTCATCACTTTGTAATAAACCTAGTCATGCCTATGTGTGTTTCTGATAATTACCATAACATTATATCTTTAGTGGGTCTGAATGAAAGCGGTTATACAAACACAAGCACGTATATAGGACATTAACCGGCGCATGACTGTATAATGCAATATTATGCAATATTAACCCCTAAATCTGTTAATTCGGACAATCGGCTAAAACGGACACCCTTTCCCCCTATTAGTCCGTTTTAACGAGGGTCGACTGTAGATGGTGCTCCACAGAAGGAAAATTGAATCTCAGGCAGCGAATGTTGGAAAAATGATGTGTGAAAAAATCCGATCCTCCAGCAACTGCGGTGACGTCAGTTGAGGCCCCAGTAACTTGATGATGATCAGGTTGGCCTTGGGGTCCACAACCTTCCCGACCAGGGGGACCCATCCGAAAAGGCCTCGCTTCAGTATTAATATCAATTCACATAGGAGAATAAAATAGATCAAGAGTGAGTACGGTTATATTTGTTGTGTTGTCAATAGTAAGAGAGACAATTGAGACCCTGCATTTGTGTAAATGAGGCAGAAAGTCAGATCAGCAACCTGGAACTTGGTCACAATTTTCGTGATGCCATATGGCAGCAGGGTCTACCATTAGACAGCACATTATGCTTCCAATATCTTCCCAGGCAGTAGTACCTCCCGTTTTGGTACCTGCCTACTACACACCCCAACTGTAATATGTGTGTGTGTGTGTGTGTGTGTGTGCATGTGTGCGTGTGTGCGTGCGTGCGTGCGTGCGTGCGTGTTACATACCCACACAGATTATAAAAAAGTATAACTGTAATAATAATAATCATAATCAATAAGTCAAAAACATAAAAGGGAATAAAGTTTCTTCCTGTGGTAAGAGTTCTCACTAATGGGGAGAGGGGGATCTCAGCTATTCTGAGCTGCTCTCATGTCTAGTGAAGCGATTGACAATTTTCACTGTCCTGCAGCCACATGGCATTACAGTATTGTACAGTATTGTTTTTAGTTATTGACATTACAGTACAGTATATATGTTTATTCCTCACATTTATTGGTATATATATTATTTTATCTTATTTCTCATAGGAGTTGGTAACTGGAGGGATTTCAGTTTCAGAGATGGTATTACAGTGGGGTATGCTATAACGAACGTAATTGGTTCCAGAATCTCGTTCGTTATAGCATTTGTTCGTTATAGGATTAATCCGTTCCAGGCCCCCAAATACAACCGCTTAACAATGAAAAAATTCTGTGGAAAATGTAAAAAATACGGTACTTTATCTTACCTTAGTGTTATTCAGCATGCAGGTACCCCTAAACACTGGCACATCACTATCACTTCCACTGGGAGTCTTGGCTTTAAGGTCCTCAAACAATTGTTTAGCCTTCTCACAAATTATAGCTTCACTAATGTTACCACCTGCCATTTCTTTCTCCTTTATCCACACTAAGAGTAAATTTTCCATCTCTTCAATCACATTACACCTTGCTTTGCTAAGTCTAAAGATTCCCTTAGCCACTTGCACAGTTTTTAACTCCTCTTTATTCTTCAAAATCGTACATATAGTCGATTTAGCCATCCCATATTCATCACTAAGTTTCGCAATGCTTCTTCCATTCTCACGTTTCTTTATAATTTCTTTCTTAGTTTCAAGGGTTATTAGCTTTCTCACTCGCTTTGGACGACTCATTGTTACAATTGTATACTTGTATAACAAAATAGTTATACAAATAACGCGAATTTCCACATCAAAAGACGAAATTTCAACAATAACAGTGGTGCACTGGCTACACAATGAGACAAAGATGGCGCCTGACGCTCTTGTTGTGGGTCGCGGTACAACAATATTCATGCGCCAGGCGAAATAGTCCGGTATTCATCCGCGTTCGTTGTAGGAGTTGCGTTCGTTATAGCATTCTCAATTTTATAGGTAAAACCGTTCGTTATAGGAATATTCGTAGTAGGATCCGTTCGTTATAGCATACCCCACTGTACTATTCATAGCATCAGTTGTTGTGGTGGTGGTCACAGCCAGGACTCATTGGTGTTGTCTTACTACAAATTTACAGAGCTGATGGATGTTTAATGGTTTAACAATGAGTTACTTTTTACTTTTACTTTTATCCTCGTTAGCCGCTTGGGCCGTCGGTCACGTCTCTGTTATGCACTGTTGGCAAGTACTGGGCATGAACTGGCTCCTGAATGTATCTAATAATAAAAATAATAATAAACGGTTTATTAATAGAGTTGCAGCCGGTGGCTGAAAATATACAGACTTACATTTGATTTAGACATAATGATCTGAACCTGCTCCAGTGTTGGTCAAGTCTGGTCTTGAAAGAGCTCACACTTAGTGCCGTCACAACACAACACAAAGGGAATAGGTTCAATCTTTTGTTATTCTGCATTGTTGTGATGCGAACTGGGCTGGCGGCACCATGTGGTCCCTCCGTGTTGCTCCACAGCAAAAACAATGACCCACAATATTCCAAAATTTTTAATAATTTTTTTTTAAAGATTTGTGTCATTATTCAGGTGTCCAGTACTCAGGGTGTTTACTGTACTACTGTATAGACTGTGTTGGACAAATTTTTTGGATTTGTTTTAGACCGAAATATCATTAAACTACTTTGTGTGGGCCTTTGTTAAGGTCTGAGTTTTAAAAAATTATAATTATGCTTTCAAGATCTATAGAACTGTTTTGTATCAATATGCTAAAATATACTCTTAGATGATTGAGAATGTGTTCTAATGCAGCAGGCAGATTTGAGATTTATAAAGACACATATGGTGCTCACGTGGAATCTTGGACTTAACTTTGGTTGTCAATATATACAGTAGTTGATTGTATAATGACATATTTACCCTGAATGGCCACTGTTTCAACAAGATAGATAGGGACTTTTGGACCAGCCTGCACATTGTTGATCCCAGTTGTTTGATTAGCTGCCATGGTTGTTGTGCTTGAGTGTGATGTCATTTAATTAACCAAAAGCTTTTTTGAGGTACTTAATGAAATATCACAAATATTCTCTTTTTATTGCAGGGAACAGGAAAATGGTATGAACTACAGGACCTGCATGTTAAAGAGATTGAACCTCAGATGTTAACCCTCACTGAGTCATACATTCAGGTCAGTTTTTGTTTTCTGCTGTTTTCTCTTTTGTTGCATCATTTTCCCTGCTGTCAGTTACCATGGGGACCATCTGGGAGAGAGAGGTAGGTCTGGGGTCAATCATTAATGGAACCTGGCAGAAGCTACTTACTGTAGAATAGAGGGTGGCTGGTGTCACTACTAAGATCAGAGATGTTACCGAGGACTCATTCTGGTTTGATAGTCATGTATACACTAATACCTGTACAGGTGCTCCTGTACTTACGAACGAGTTACATTCCTGAGGCTTGTTTGTAAGTCCAACTTTACTCTTGCAGATACCAAACATATTGCAAAAAATTAAAAGATTATGGATATTTAGTACAGCTATACCCTTTAATACAGCCTTAAAACCTGGCTCACTCTTGGGTAATGTTTGTTCTATCTGGAATTTTCTTCAAAATAATCCAGTCTCATCCACATTAAACACCTGTTCTGGCAGGTAATCCCCCTCAGTGATGATGTTTGTATCTCTGAAAGTTTGTAAGTTGAATGTTCTAAAGTAGAGGAGCACCTGTACTGACATATTCCTTGATAAGAGAGAGGAGTTCGAAACCCTACTCAAGATACATCAGCTCAGTTTTGTAGGTGTTGTAGAAATATTGTACAAGAGGAAGAGAATCGACCCGGAGCCAGCCAGGTGAGGGTACAGGGAGAGGATGTTTTTGAAGAATCAATGTGATGTAAAATTAAACTAAAGGGGAGAGACTTACTTATGTTCGGATGTACTGTACAGTAGACCGTTGATATAATGCGAGATACGTTCCAAGAGAGGTCGCTTTAAACCGAATTCGCTTCAAATCGAAGTGTTGTGTCAATGGAATAATTTAGTTTGGTACAGTGGTCCCTCGGTTAACGAGCGCCTCGGTTAATGAGATTTCGGTTAACGAGTTACCTCCCATAAGATTCTTAACTTCGGTTAACGAGCAACCCCTCGATTAACGAGTTTCTTACGAGCCGACCTGAACATGTTTTCGCTTGCACTTGGCGGTCAACCAGCTGTAGTATTAGCCCGCCAGTACAGTAATCGGTTCTAGGGCTTAAATTCCTTACTATTTTATTAAATATCAAGAAGTTTATGCTATTCAATAATTTTAAAAGTTTAATATTAACTTTTTTAGTAATTTTAACAATTATTGAACATAATTGAAGGTAAGGTCACTAGTTTCTGGCGCGCCATCCAGCCTGTTAACACACCAAACAAGTGTTAGTCTCTCTCGGTTTTCAGTGGAGGTAACATCTTGCTTGAGACTCTCTTCAACTAAACTCTTTTTTTCTGTGTTTCCAAGCAAATTATTGGTCATTTCGAAATTTATTTTACATATTGACAATATATAGCGCAGTGCAGTGTTATTTTAAAGAAAATATTCTTTATTTGCAGCTAGTCAAAACTTAAAAGATCATGTGTTGACATTGTTTGAATCCAGCATGGGGCCTAAGAGATCAAGAAAAGCGATTTCAATCCAAACCAAGCAGGAAATTATTAAGAAACATGAAGAAGGTATGAGAACAAATGCGCTATGCAAAGAATATGGCATATCGAAATCAACTGTGTCGACAATTCTTGCACAGAAAGACAAATTTAAAGAAATGAAAGTGAGAGACAAATCTACCAGAGGGTTTAAAGGTACAGCCCTAATTGCAGAAATTGAGAGGTTATTTCTCATCTGGATTAGGGAAAAACAGATGAAAGGTGATTCAGTTTCTACTGAATTCATTTGTGAAAGAGCCAGGGAGATTTACGAACATTTAAAGACAGATCAACTTGGTTCTTCAGGCACAGAATTTGAAGATTTTCAGGCCAGCAAAGGCTGGTTCGAAAAATTTAAGGAAAGAAGTGACATTTTCAGTGTTATTAGGCATGGTGAGGCTGCTAGTGCTGATAAGGAAGGGGCAGCAAAGTTTTTAGTGGATTTTAAAGAACTAATGGCAAAAGAAAATTATCTTCCACAGCAAGTGTTCAATGTGGACGAAACTGGGCTGTTCTGGAAAAAGATGCCCAAAAGAACATTCATCACCAGAGATGAAGCCTCTACCTGGGCATAAACCCATGAAAGACCGTCTCACTCTATTGCTTGGTGCCAATGCTTCAGGGGATTTCCGACTGAAGCCTATGCTTGTCTACCACTCTGAAAACCCCAGGGTGTTCAAGCAACAGAAAGTGGTAAGAGCAAAGCTTGAAGTTTATTGGAAGTCCAACCGTAAGGCATGGGTGACAAGACAGCTCTTTAATGAATGGGCTGTTGAGGTGTTTTGCCCTTCTGTCAAGAGCTACCTAACCACCAATAAACTCCCTTTAAAGGCTCTTCTCCTCATGGATAATGCCCCTGGGCATGACCCTGAACTTGCCAGAACTTTGGAGTATCAATTTGACTTTGTGAAAGTGTTGTTTTTGCCTCCCAACACTACATCAATCATACAGTCAATGGACCAGAATGTGATCAGCAACTTCAAGAAGTTGTACATGAAGAAAATGTTTAGGAGGTGTCATCAGGCAACTTCCAATGATCCTGAACTAACACTGAAACAGTTCTGGAAGACACAATTCAACATCCTGGAGGCTGTAAAATTGATTGTGTCATCATGGCAAGAAGTCTCCACTAGATCCCTCAATTCTTCATGGAAAGCACTGTGGCCATCAGTAGTCCATGATTTTGAGGGACTTGAGGAAGAAACAGAGTTGGACCAGGAGATTGTGTCCATTGGTCAGTCATTGGGCCTTGAAGTGGAAGAGGATGATGTCGAAGAGCTTGTGATGTCTCATGAGGAGGAACTTACTCCTGATGACTTGAAGCAACTGGATGAGATGTTAGAGGCTGACAGTGGTGAGGAGGAAATGGAAAGTGATGACCATATGTCAACTTCAGAGTTGAAAGATGTGATTTACCACTGGGAGAAGTTCAGGGAACTGGCTTCATAGCACCCAGATGTGGAAAAAACTGAACTAACTTTGTGTCATGTTGAGGACTCAATGGTCTCCTTCTTTAAACATAAGTTAATGGTGAGGAGGACAGATGCCCCACAGACCACAATTGACACTTTCTTCAGTAAAAGGCAGAGGGAATAAGATGCTAGCCCTCAGCCTTCCACTTCAAGAAGGAGAGAGGATGATGCTAGCCCTCAGCCTTCCACTTCAAGAAGGAGAGAGGATGTTCATGGTAGAGAATCTGTCAGTCCAGAGGTTCCTGACATTTTATTGGAAGGTGACTCACCTGCCAAGAAGCAGTAAAATGCTTCTCCTCCACCTCCACTTCCTTCTCTTCTCCCTTCTCCTCCTGCACCTCCCACTTCAAATTCACATCAGCATTATCATCCAGGAGCCTTCTACATACACACCTCAATGTAAGTGTAATTTTCTACCCTTTTTTTTAATTTAGGCAATTTTCGGTGAGCTGGAACCAATTACCCAAAAACCCATTGAAACAATGGTTTCGGTTAACGAGATTTTTGGTTAACGAGCAACCTGCTGGAACGGATTGTGCTCGTTAACCGAGGGACCACTGTACTTGAGAGAAACACAAAATACTTAAAAGACTGACAGTCTACCCAGATGCACCTCAGCCCATCTCCTAGAGTAAACAAAACATTGTTTTTTGTAGTATTATGTTAAAACAAACACTCATAAATCAACACAGCTAAAATTAAGGGACGTGAAATGGTATGTTTACTAGCGATCGGCTGATGGGAAGTTGGGGGGGGGGGGAGAGGTGATATGTTTGACACTTGATGCCAAGGTCTAGTGCTTATTTATTTATCTGTCCTTAAGAGTAACTAAGTTTTGCTCTTATAAAATGTCACTGAACTGACATGGGGGAATATAATTAACATTGCTGGAATTCTTATAAGATAGTGATTTGTGTGATGAATATAAACATGCTATAGCTCACATTAGACATACAATAATTTGTGCAAAATATATGACGTTTATATTCAAATTAATCGCTGTCTTGCAAGGATTCCAGCAATACAAATTATATTCTAACTTTAGTCTGTGACATTATATAAGATAAAAACTTTAAGCCTAAAACACCAAATCCTGGTTAGGGGAAGGGGGGAGGTGACAGTGACATGTTTGACAGTTAGCGCCAAGGTCTAGTGAAGTATTTATTTGTTTATTTATGTCCTTTAGATTGAGTTTATGTTTTTTGCTTATAAAATGTCACAGAAGTGACCAGGGAGAATATAATTTACATTGCTGGAATTCTTATAAGATAGTGATTAATTTGAATATAAACATGCTATAGTTTGCACTAGACAAAAATTTTAGTAATCATTTAGAACATTGTTTTGAGTACATGTACAGAACAGCTTTGCCCTTAAGACAGTGTGTGCATGTAAATAAGTTTAAATAAATGAATAAAGTTACATATATCCAGCCAAAAATATAATTGAAAAACTTTTTGTAGACACTGCCTAGATGGAGGGGGTGGAGCTTTGGCAGGCTAATGTTTGGCAAGCATACGATCTATTTCTTGGTCTTTGGAGTAGTTAAAGATGTAGTAGCTGGCCTCTTGGACATTGTGGCGATGGTTGATGCACGTAGTAGAAGGAGATAGTGTCACACAATATGTCCGTTCACTAGAGCGTCAGCGTGAGAACTGAGCATGTGAGAGGGTGGTGGGCAGCCATATAGCGTGCCCAGAGAAACACTAGGCGCAAAATTTTAAATATGATGCACCAGATTGACTCGTGCAAAATAGGAAAGGTTTACTTTAAATTAAAACATTGTCCTTAATTGTGGGTGTTGCTTTAAATCAATAATCTTAAATTGAATCGCTTTAAATCGACATTCTACTGTATCCACAAATCCCCAAACTGTAGCTTATTAAACCAAAGGAATTGAAGAACCTTAATTGACAACACAAAAGCGCTCACCCCTAGCCACCTCCTTGTCATGGGGAACTTTAACTATGGCGACATCGACTGGAGATATGAAACCACACCAAATCACCTTAATAATCTTGCTGCCCTTTTTGTAG